CCCGGCCCCGAGGGCTACTGCAGCAATGGGGGACACTGCAGCCTGCACCCCGTCACCTGTGCCCCCGCCTGCTCCTGCCCCCCGGCTTTCACTGACCAGCGCTGCCTGGTGGCAGGGGGTGATTTTCGGCCCCTGCCCAGCGCAGGTGGGTATCTGTGCCCGGTGTGGGGGTGAACCTCAACCCTACTCGCCCCAGTTCTGGGATACCCAGTTCTGGGATCCGCTGTGGCTTCCCTTGGCAGATCTCCCCCGGAGGAGTGTCCGGCTGCAGGTCAGGACACTGCGAAACACCACTGCCGGGGAAGTCAACAGCACCGTAAGTTGCCGGAGGGCACGGGCTCGGGGAGGGGGATGCACTGGCACACCAGGCAGCGTGGCAGCTTGGGGTGCCTGTCCCTCCGTGTGCCCCCCGCGCGCAGGATCCACGGGGATCCAGCGGATCTGCAGGGCCAGAGGGAGGCAGCGCCAGCCGCATGATGCCGGCTGGCACCGTGGCCATGTGCCAGGTCCCCAGCGCGTGAACAAAAGGCCAAAGCAGCCCTTGGGGCTTGGCCACGGTGCCCACGTTGCCCTTCAGCCTCTCCCCACACGGGTGCCGTCCTGCCCTCCACTAATGCCCTCCCACTCCCCCGCCACAGGTCTCAGCCATCCTGGGCTCCCTGGAGGTGAAGACTTTCCAGAGCAACACCAACATCACCCAGACGTGAGTCAGCTGTGGAGTGGCCCCTTGCCCACCCCAGGGAGCTGGCAGGGCAGGGCTGGGCATGGGGCCATAGGGTTTGGGACGCAAAGGGCATTTTCCCCCACCCCAGAGTGTTTTTCCAGCCCTGATGCTGATAAACCCTTGGAGATGCAAGTCCCAGGCACCTTCCATGTCCTGCCTCATCCCTTCTTTACCACCCCCCAAATGGGGGAAACTGAGGCACGGTGAGTCTCGGTCACTCTGTGATGCAGCAGCAGCTCCACCAGCAGCCCCATCCTTTCCCCGCAGGACAGACAGCGATGGCTTCACCTTCGCGGTGGTGTCCGAGTTTGCCTACGACAGCAGCAGCACCGTCATCAGGTTCCTGAACGAGGAGCTGCTGGGGGCCATCATCGGCGCCTTCAAT